TGTGAGGGTATAGACCTGCAGGGCCACCCCAGCTCCAGAGCTTACTGTAGGATAGACTGAAAGTCTTTGTTACCACTGCACTGTAGTTTAACTTCTCTGACATACCATGCTTCCTTATTCCTCCATCCCAATAAACTGTATGCAGGTAAATCTCAGTCTCAGAGTCTGCTCCCCAGGGAGCTCAACTTGTGATAGCTTCCATCTTATATATGCTGTTTACTTTTCTTGCCTGTTCTTTTTCCTTTGTTTTCTTTCCTTACTCCATTCTTCTTCTGTAAGTTTGGAAATAGAAGTTTTAGTCAGATAATCATTGACTTATGTTTGATGCTATAGGATAAGCATATCCTACATTAACTGTAAGGTTGGTGGGCTGCTCTGCAAGGGAAAGAGGAGGTAGTCTGCTCCCATAAAGATTTATAGTCTGAGAAATCCTATATAGGGTTGCTATCAGTCAGAACTGACGTGATGGTAGTGGGTTTGGTTTTGGGGTTTTTTGGCAGTCTTCTTTTCTTCCCAACTGTCTTAGGCTGCATTCTCTAGAAAACATAGCCAGTGAGGCTTATATATATACATACACACACACACATATATATCTGTGTGTGTGTGTATGTATATATATATACACATACAGAGAGATGTAAGGAGCCCTGGTAGTATAGTGCATTACAAGCTGGGCTGCTAACCACAAGGTCAGCAATTCGAATCTACCAGTTGCTGTGAGGCTTTCTGCTCCCATAAAGATTTACAGCCTTGGAAAGTTTATACAGGATTGCTATGAATCAGAATCAGCTTGGTGGCATACAACCACCACCACCATAGAGAGATTTATCTTAAGAAAATGGCTCATACAATTGTAGAAGCAGGCAAGTTCTACTTAGTGAGTCAGATGTCAGGCTGGAGGCTTCTCCTGACTCACATAGCTCCAAGGGCTGAAGAACTCAAGATCAGCAAGTTAGATAGCAGACTGATGAGCCTAGGATCACTAGGCAATATGACCTGCCACTGGCTCAAGTCCAAAGAACCACAGAGGTGATCAGATGACAAGTCAGATGCAGAATCCACATCCACTAAAGAGCAAGCAAGGTTTTTAAGAGTGTCCACATACAATGGAACTATGCCATACCCCTCAGGAACTCCCTTTCCATTCTCTGGCTGCTCATTGTAAGACTTCAGTCATGAAAGTTACTACATTATATCAGATACATCATGGAGGGTGACTATATCACAACTGCCAAACTACTGGGAATCTGCTCAACCAAGCTGACACACAACCTTAAGTATCATACCAACTGACCAGTTTTTTAGTGTATTTGCTACATGCTGGATTCCAACATCTGACCCTGAGTGTGCCTGGCTATGAGCTAGCGAGATTTCTTTTCCAACCCTTCTAACAGGCTTATTCCTTGTCATGTACGATGGGGCGTCCAAAAGTTCGTGGACAAATGGAATTAAAAGGTAAGGGATTTTTTTACAGGAACTTTTTAGAGCCCATTCATGCATTATTCATTTTGATCCTAAGTCTAAAGACAGCTTTTAGGAACACTGTTTATATGCAAACCAGAATGGCTACAACACAGGGAAGGGAGTGAGTACAATTTACACAACAGGATTAACAGGATATGGATTCAAGTAAATGGTTTTTAGAGATAAGATGCCTCCTTAGTTGCAAATAATATTATTAAGTTCAAAACCCACAACTATTTGTATTTAAAATTTCTGAAGTATAATGCAACTAGTTGTTTCTAATGCATTTTCTATATTAGTCAAATACTTCATCTTATTTACAATGTTGATTGCATATATCTTTGAGTATTGTGTCTTAAAGTTATTAGTATTGATATAGGATGAAGATGAGAAATAGCTACATAAAAAGAAAAACTGCATGGCTCTATATGAAGACAAAAATCATCACATCACACACAGCCCATCATTGGTTAATGTCCAAAAGTGTCAAGTGTTATGGAAAAGAGAGGACGAGAATATAAGTGAACACAAGTTCCATGACAAAACAATTATAATAACAGAATCAAATCCAACTTCTTTATTAATCTTGTTAAAATTTCACCTCTGGGTCTAGAACTTCATATTAATTTTTATATTAAGCTCCAATAGCAGGACCGGGATTTTGGCTGTCTCTGGGCAAATGAGTTATGATCTGATATCAAATTCCAAGGGGAATACTCCAAAGGTTTGTTTTTCCCCAGTTGAATTAAACAGTTGTATACTATCTCTTGTGTTAGAACAGTGTTATCTTCACATAACACTTAAATAATAGTATTAGTCATTCATGCCTTGAACACAGACACCCTGATGGGTGCTGATAGCTTAAAAGGATATGGTGGCAGTTATGGGTGCTGGGAGTTAAGATGCCTGACTTTGATTTCTTATAGTCTTGAGCAATGGAGCTAAGGTACACCTGGTTATTGTCTACTTTTGCTCTCAGATGTTTAGCTTGTTGTTTTTTTTAAATTTTTCCCGTTCTTTCTTTTTTTTAAACTTTTTTTATTGTGAATTGAGTAAAGGTTTACAGAACAGATCATCAGTCCCACATTCAACAAATCATACACTTCATGTCATTACAATGACTGCAATTCCCTCCATGTACCATCAGTTAACAGCATTTACCTCTTTTCACCTTAACTCTTGCACTCCTTCCAGTGTCTTTATCTTTCCTCTGCCAACCTTCCTCTTGTTGTATATTTTCTTCCCTATCACCCAAGTTAATATATGTCTACCCTCTATGGTTTGTTTTAAAATGATTTTTTTTTCAGTATCCACTGACCCTTCCATTGGGTCCAACAATCCTTGTTTAGAAATTGTTTCATGGCGCTTAATGTTGTGTGTAGGATAAGCACTAGACTGCTAACAGCAAAGTCACTTGCTCAAATCCACCAGCCACTCCTCAGAAATCCTATACAGGGTTGCTATGAGTCAGCACCAACTCAATGGCATTTAACAACAACAACACTGGAGAAAAAGGGGGAATTGGAAAGCCTCCTTTTAAATCTGTAACTTCAGCTACAGAAGATGTTCCATTCATATGGTGTAGCAGAAGTAGCCAATGTGAAAGATATAATAAAGACAGATCTTGAAGGCTGGTTCATATCTTTGGGTGACAATCAGCTTAGGGTAGTGACAGAAATTACTTTGTGGTGGCTATTTTGATAAATATCAGGAAACATATGAAGTCTTCCTTTACATGTGCTATTTGTTGATTCTGGAAATCCAGCCTTTGGACCACTCTTTCGTTTGTTTTCCTCTGTCTTGTCAAGATCATCTTGAAGACCAGTGGAAGCTTTATAACCAAGTTGTAGCTGATTTGGGCGGGGCTGGGAGTGATGGGGGTTGGAGTACTGGTGTGGCACTGTGGGTTAATGTGCTATAATGCAAAGCCAGTTTGAATTGCAAGGTTCAAACTTACTATCTGCTCCTAGGAAACCCCTATACAGGGTCACTACGGGTTGAAATGAACTCAACGGCACTAACAACAATAACAATCTTTTTATTAGAGTGCTGGTGTTGCACTGTAGGATAAGCACTGGACTGCTAACTGCAAGGTTGGCAGTTCAAACCCACCAGTCCTCCTTGGGAACCCTATTCAGGGTCTCTGTGAGTTGGAACCAACTTGATGGCATAAAACAACAACAAAATATTTTTATTATGCCCTGTTCCAGCAGCAGCTTCATTGCCTACCTTGACCTGAATCACAAATTCTCAATGTCAGGCATCTCTGTTTATGAAAGCAAAACATAATCTGGTTCCTTTTCTTTCTGGCCTGTTGAATTTGATCTAGACAGCTAATGGGGTTCATTCTTGACATACTATTGTTGTTGTTGTTATGTGCCGTGAAGTCAGTTCTGACTCATAGCGAACCTGTACAGGGTTTCCGAGGCTGTAAATCTTTATGGGAGCAGAAAGCCTCATCTATCTCCCGTGGAACAGCTGGTAGTTTCAAACTGCTGACCTTAAGGCTTGCAGCCCGATTTGTAACCACTACAGTACCATATTATTACCCAGCATTTATTATAATTTCAGGGCATTGAAATTTTTATTAAAAGCAATAATTCTGGCTTCCCAAATATAGGAAGAGGTAAATTTTTTAAGCTCCTATGTTTTATTTAAGACAGTTGTTATTGTTGTTATGTGCCATAGAGTCGGTTCCGACTCATAGCAACCCTGCACAGGGTTTCCGAGGCTGTAAATCTTTACGGGAGCAGAACAACTCATCTTTCTCCTGTGGAGCAGCTGGTAGTTTCGAATTGCTGACCTTTCGGTTCGCAGCCTGTTTCACAACCACTACGACCATTATTGTTTGAATAAATGAAGGAAAACAAATTGTCATGGACATTGAATGCTGCAAGGAAGAACCCAGACCTAACCTGAAAGTAACAGAAAGCCCTTGGAGGCATTTGAGTAAGGACTTGACCTGATATTAATATGATAAATAGACTGAGTTTGAAAAAGAAAGGAACCAGATTTAAAAGGTCAGAACATTATTTCAGTAATTAAAATGAAAAATAAATGAGGCGGTTCAACTATAATTTACTCATAGCACAGTATGTGATAATATGTGCCTTGTATTTTCTAAAATTATGTACTAATTAATATAAGATAATAAAAAATATATCTATTTCATTTTGGCTTAATATCTTAGAAACAAACAGAATTCTCTAACACCCTAGTTGATATTAAAAGGTCTTCCTGGGTGTTTAATGGATGGATTTTTTTTGATGAAGTACATTTGCTCTCTCTTGTAGATGCAAAATGTACCTTAGAAAATTAAAGACTCTGAAAAGGCCTGAGTTATGTCAGCTATTTTTCTTTGTTTCACCCCTTTTTTCTAAATACATCTGGCCAGAGAATTCTTACATCATGAAATACTCTGAATTTTCCCCAAGGAAAACTTTTTAAAAATAATTATTATTAAGTGCATAAACGACAAACAGAGTGCGTTATTAAGAGGCTTCTGTAAACTGGAAAAAAACAAACAAACAACTTACTATTATTTTCTTACAGTCCTTTCCTCTGCATAACTCTGTATAGGTAGAGTATTGCACATATATAATCCAGCTTCCAACAAAAACCACCAACCAGGAAAAGAAAAGATATTTCATCCGCACATAGGAGAAGCGAGCCTGTGAGTAAAGAGAACATAACAATCAGTCATTCAGCATCAAGTCAGTACTCCCTGTCCTAGAACATCACTTTTCCATGCTTCTTGAGAAAAAACCCCTCAATATATATTCTAGGCTTTCATATGGCAATTCTCCTAGAACAAAGTGTACTTTCACTAAGTCTAAACAGCACTAGTCTTAGAAAAGGAAGCTCCTAGAACTTGCCAAAGAAAAAGGGAACAAAATACCCTTTAAAATGTATAACCTTTGAAATACCACCATCATCCAAAGCATATGTGCCACGCTACTCTGGGTACCGCATAAGATCAGGTGAAGAGGGATACAATTCTCATTTTCTATGAGCTTACACAGGACTTTTTTTGAAACATAATCTGAAAAGTCTTTACTGATAGTCATGACAAAAATAATTTTGTTTTAGAGAAATGAACACACAAAATTTGGTTATTTGTCAAATGCCACATAATGAAGCAGCATCAGAATAAGAAATTAATCAAATTCATTCCTATCTCTCTACTATACGATATCCGCTAGGAATTCATGTTTCTTCTATTCAACCAACCAAATGCTTGACTTAACAAATGCTGGAAACCAAGGGGAATGTTACAACCATTAAAGGAGAGTGCCCGGAGAAGAAGGCTTGAGATGTATTAAAAATAAATTACTCTTTCTATGTCTACTTGACAGCCCTACAATAGAATCCTCTTAGCATTGTTTTGCTTTCAGAATTCTGGTATCTAACTGTAACTTGGGCAGGCTGGTGCCTTTTCTCCATCAACCAAATATCAAATAGTTTAATCTTCAAAAGTGACAGATGGTCAAGGTAATTTGACATTTACTTTTTGGGTCTGGTGTGCCAAGGATTAAACAGGAGAATTCAGGATCAAACAGCTATTAAAGATATGTAAACAAACAATGAGGCACTAGTTTTGGTTTTACAATCACATGCCAGTTTTTCACATTGGAAAACAGTGGGATTCTGTGAGGACTGTGAGCATGCAAAGAAAGCAGGAAGAGATGAAAGGGACACAGTGCACCTGGAGAAGACAATGAATGCAAAGGGATTCAGGAAATGCTGAATTCTGTTGGCCCTGTTTATAGTTAAGAGATCTGTCTTTCTGAGGTTCACAGATGGTGAATACAAGGACCAAAAAGCTTGAGTACAATGAATTCACAGTTAAATGGTGAGTATTTGAATTTTACTAATGAATCCAAAATTTATTTCTATATAACTTTAAATAAATCTAGAAAAAGAAAATCCAGACAGAATTATAAACTAACTACAATAGGATATATATATCAAGGAGTCTGTATGAGAGACAAGAAAATTTAAGATTTTCTTGGTTCTACTAAGAGACGTGGTTATCAGATAGAAAGAGTCACACAAGTATTATGAAGCTAATATAAGATTAAAATAAGATAATGCCTACAGAACACAAGCACATCATGAGCACACAGTAAATACTCAATAGATGTTAGCTAAATCAGTATGCAGGGCAGTGAACAAGAGGCCAACAATGCTACCAGCATGACTTGGTTTTGTCATTATAATTTTGTGCTTTTCAGAAAGGAAACAAATCTGAATCTGATCAAGTCACGAGATCCTACTACATATGTATATGAAATACAGGAGGCAGACATACAATCAGCAAAATCCAGACCTTGGGAAACTGTAATACAAACCTAGTTTCTTCAATAAATAAGTTATAAAGGGAAAACAAGACAGAGAAAGGGGAAACCTAAAGATTAACAAAAATTATTTAATGTGAGTGCATGCACGTGCATATACAATTGTACCCATAAGCATATATATAAATGTTGAGGTTTAGTACCGTCGAGTCATTCCTGACTCACAGCTACTTGGCGGCACTTAACAACAATATGTATACACATACATAAACACAAACATATATATACATGTTTTGTGCATGCTACATATCTATTCACATACATAATTAAATACATAGGGGACACAGTAATGGATACTTCTTATACATAAACATCTCAAGAGATTTGTTTAGAGTTTGAAAGGTTAGGATTATAGTCTCGTGGGACACTTCAGTCAACTGGTATAACATAGTTCATAAAGTTTTTGTTCTACCAACTAGTTTGATGAATCTTTGGGGAACTTAAAAGCTTGTGAACAGCCATCTAAGATACAACTCTTGGCCTCTACTTGTCTGGAGCAAAAGTGTAAGAGGAAAACAAAAGAAGAAACAAGTCTATGGGACTAATATATTGTCTACACACACCACAGCCTCATCAACTCTGAGACTAGAAGTACTAGATGACACTTAGCTACAACTACCGGTTGTTCTGACCAGAAACACACCAGATGGTCCTGGATAGAATGGGAGAAAAATATAGAACAAAACACAATTCTTTACAAAAAATAAAAAGTCCAGACTTACTGAACTAGTTAAGATGAGAAAAACCTCTGAGTCTATTACGCTGAGACATCCATTAACTTCAGAACTAAAGCAACTTCTGGAGGTCACCTTTCAGATAAGTAACAGATTGGCTCATAAAATAAGCAGTATCACCTGTGAGAACTGTGCTCCTTTGAAAAAAAAATAAAACATGTACATGAGACCAACAGATAAAAGTTACCCAGAGCAAAATGAGAAGGTAAGGGGAGGCAGAGAAACTAGATGAACAAAAATAGAACAACCAGAACAAAAATAATGAAGAGATGACATGTTGTGGAAAATGTAACCAATGTCACTGAGCAATATGTATGTTGTTGTTAAGTTGTCATCAAGTTGATTCCAACTCATAGCAACCCAATGTACAACAGAACAAAACACTGCCCAGTCCTGTGCCGTCCTCACAATCATTGCTATGTTTGAGCCTATTGTTGCAGCCACTGTGTCACTCTATTTGGTTAAGGGTCTTCTTGTTTTTCACTGACCCTCTCTACTTTGCCAAGCATTTTCACTTTCTCAAAGCACTGCTTCCTTCTGACAACATGGCAAAAGTACACAAGACAAAATCTTGTCATCCTTGCTTCTGAAGAGCATTCTAGCTGTATGTACTTCTGCAGTCCATGGTATAACCAATACTCTTCACCAAACACGTGATTTAAATGTATCAATTCTTCTCCAATCTTTAATCACTGTTCAGCTTCTGCTGCATAGGAGGTGAATGGGTTGTTCAGGCGTAACTTAGTCCTCAAAGTAACATCTTTATTTATTTATTTTTTAATGTGTTATTGTGAATTATATGATAGTTTACATGAGAGAACTTTAGTTTTATATTCATTCTATCGTATATAGTTTCATTGCCATGGTTGCAATCCCCTCCATGCATCATCAACCGACCAAAGGGCATACCAAACAAACCTGCCCCCTACACTCCCCCCCTCCCCCCCTCCCCGCCCCAGTCTTCAGCAAACAGTTCCTCTCCCTCTCTGGATCCAAAGTCCCTAGTCGCTTCATCACTCCACGTCATCATCTCTGCCTCTATCTCAGGCATCGCTGCTTCTCTGGGCAGGGTCCAGCTCTCGGCTCTTCTCTGTTGATGGTCCTAGAGACCTCCGCTCCTACACTGGAGAGTTAATCACTCCCTTCCTTGCTACAAAACGCCTACCTTTACATTTCCAACCCTCACAATCAGTTCTGATAACAATGATTCACTATTGTATCACAAGTGACTCATCTGCATTTCATTTCATCAGCTCCGCCTAGACAGATTGGATAGTACTCACTGGAGATTCTGCCTTCCTCCATGCCCCCTGGCTCTAGGTTCCCTCTTGAAAGCTTGTAAGCCAGTCACTTCTTGCCTTTGTAGGCCCCCCACCCATTTTGGGTATCCGATGTCCAAGTTGCCCATCCCTGTCTACTCTGTGTGTGGAGGGGGTGGGAATGATTCTTGCTGTAAGGATTTGTTCCCTCTTTTGAGTTTACTACATCCATAGGTGTAGGTCAATTTCATCAAATTGTATCAGAGCACTCTTTTTTTCCTCTTCTTTCTTCTCCTGGTTGAGCTCTGATCATCCAGTCATCGAGGCCAGGTCAAGTGGGTACCATCTGCAAGTGTGGGTGTTGTGCATATGCCCTCTCTTCCTAACAGCTGGTAGCTTCACTCTCCACTCTAGTCCTCTGTGGCCACGCCACTGACTCTGGGCCCAAGAGTCCCCAGGTCTCCCCCACTGCTGGCCAACCAGGTCTCCACCCGGGTCCACAGAAACCCACCAAACATTATAGGGCTTAGCTTGCCGCTTCATTGCTGCGTTTACCCCACTTCCCCGACTGGTGATGCGTGTGGTCACCAATCAGAGCGTGTATTTCCATTGAGTCTTAGTTTTGGTAGGGGATTTGCATTGAGGGGACCCGACCACTTGCCTTGATGTTTCCTGGGCAAGCAACTTGTTTGTTCTTGTAGTAACAGTCCATCTACCTCTATTGTTTTGTATTTTTCCTGTAGGTCTTTCTTTTAAGAAGTATCTTCTGTTCTTCTAGCCGCTCCAGGCTGGTCTGCTCATCCTTTCAAGTGGAAATCTCCCATCTCTGGAGATCTGGATGTGGTTCAGGCTTCCACCTATAGTCTTATGTATTGCAAAAGCTCCGCAGGAAGCCTCCTTCACTGGGAACGTTGTAGCCCCATTTTAGTATTCCAATCAGTTATAGGCAGAAGCCTGACTTACGAGCTTTCTATGGTGATGTTTTTGACTATTCCTTTCTCTCCCCCTCCAGTGTCTATTTTATATTATAATGCAAGGAAAACCAAGATTCAAAAGACAACCAAGCATCTTAACACATCTTAACATTATTCCCCCTTTTCCCCATTCCAACCATGACTCAATCTCTGTATCCCAGAGCCCTGAAGTTCTAAGGTTGTACATACATCATTCTTTATCTCTGTCCCACCTTCTTTATATATATTTTTTTTAAGTTTTTTTTTTTTTTTTTTTGCAGATTAATCCAATGCAATACACTGCTTGATTTCTTGACTGTAGCTTTCATGGGTGTTGACTGTTTTACATTTCAAGTAAAATGAAATCC